TTTCTTCCTGCACTGCCTGAAATATTCAAAGAAAATGGAAATGATTTTTAACAAAATTTTACCATGTAACCATGTATTTTCAGAAGCTTTTCACATAGGATGTAATTGAAGCCTTAATACACCCTTACTGAACGTAATTTTTTAAAAGGATCCAAGTTTGACTAGCCTTAATAAAATCAAAATGACTGTCTCAAAACATGCATATAAAAAAGACCTGTGATCTACCAAAATCCAACATGGTTTCTACTTGCCTGTGGTTTAATATGCCATTCCTGCCCCAGCAGTACTTGTACTCCTGTGATGGCGATCTTACACAGAGGAACTGCAGTGGCTGTTGGCAAAGATTTCAGCAGCTCTACACATTCATCTATCTGCAGAAGGAATTACATGCAAGTTGACTGAAAGATTTGGTTTCATTCAACCGAATCAAATTATTTGATGAAAGTGGTTTATGAAATTTCCAAAAGAAATTTGACAGTAAACCCACCAGAAAAAAGCCCATACTGCATTTTTATTAACCTTTCACCCGCTTTACCAAACACAAATTTCAAATTATAACCAAAAGTGTAAAGTTTATATTGCTTTTCTTGTATTGTGCTTGAGGAGCCTGGTAATCAGCAACTTTTGATACAATTTACATTTGCATATTTGAACACTTTTGCACTCAAAGCAGCTCCCATGACTTTATACATTACTCCCATTCCACCCAATGACTTTGCAGGAGAAAGATCTACTAGAAGCAGAAGCTGAAAAAAGACTTCGATACTGTGAACAAGAAATGAGAGACAAGTTGAGAGTACTTTCCCCCAGAGCTCAAGTTAGAAGAAGGGAAATTGAAGCTGAAATACAGGAAGACACCTCGGACAATCTCTGTCGAAACACAACTTCACCATTGAACAGTATTTCAATTCCGTGGATACACAAGGTTACGCTGATAGTATTAAAGTACACAATACTACAAATTACAACCACCCTTCTCAGTTACACATCAGTGCCAAACAGCAGTCACGCATGGATGTACAGCCCCTGCATTCAGAGCAACAGCCGCAACCTTCAGGAGTGTCATTGGAGAGGGAGTCACACCAATTTATGATGCCCACTCAGCCCAAACAACTGTCAAGGACATCTCAACCTCCGCAGTCCTCTAGGGCAGCCCAGCTATCACAGCTACAGCAACCATACAGTATGCTAGCCTATGCGGACCCAGCAATGATGTTAAACCATGCAACTGAATACACACCAATGACAGCACAGTCAAAAGGTACGTCTACCATTGAGCAATGTCAGCTACTTATAAATGATCAAATGGGACATTTACTACAACAGCAGCAAGGAGCCTTGCAAGAGATCACACTCAATCAGGAAATGCTAAAACGTGGACAAAAATTATACATGCTAAGGATAATACAATGACAGCTGCCTACCCTGTTTCCAGAGATCAGGAACCTTATCCTGCAGGCATAGGCCTGCTGCTCTGTCACGCTGTCATAGGTCTTCACCACTTTCAGGGCATCTTCCATAGCAGTGGGTTTATCCAAGGACAGGATGTATTTCATCAGTATCTAGGAAAGAGAATTTTGTATGAAATATTGAAAAATGATGAAATACAAACTCTGTAAATTGCAATTGTCCTGCCCATATTAAACAATTCGTGGGAAAGGTGTAATCCAATGACAATACAATTACTTCAAAGACAAGATGAATGCTGAGATTTCTTATTTTCATAACTTTGAGTTGTGTTTCATATCATGAAATAACATACTGGTGTATATCATTCAAATCTAATAGCTGTGAAAAAAGTGAATGGTTGAAGAAAGGAACGAACAGAAGAAAAATAGAATAATTAATACAAATATTGAATAAACTGATAAATGCTGACTTACGGAAAAAAATGAGGGATACATAGACACATCTTACCTCTGCCTTGGAAGAATCAATTGTATTAAAATGTCGGAGTTGATATCTGGCCAACATCCCTTTTAACTCAATCAAACCACATAATTCTTTCAATTCTGCCACTCTTAAAATAAAAATTAAAATAGAAATACTTATTAACTTTGCTGTGAAGACTCTACTTGTTCTTGCTATTATTTTGTTAAAACCCATTATCATAGCAATCTTCTGAACAAAGCTATGAGAGTTCACTTAACTTAGGGATAACATAATTATTATAAGCCATTTGCTTTTTTGTTTCACCCTGTTTCCAGCTCTTCGAGGGCTCTCGCTAAGTGCAACCAGCTTAACTGAGTGACACGCCTCCTCTTTTTTCCAACATATTCATATAATCACCAGCTTTTCTGTATTCTATTTAGGCATAGACACGTTGATCTGTTAAGCTGATTGCACTTCAGAGAATCCCCACAGAGCTGGGTGGATCCACGTAGACCGATATGTCTGTAGGATTGGGGGCCTATAATATTTAGCAAGGTTACAGACTGACCTGGGGTGGTCCAGTGCCAGACCTTCTTGCACCAGTGCCTCAGTGGCTGGGGTCCAGGGGATGTAGGCCTGGAGCATTACCTTCAGTATACCCTGGCATTTATACTATGAAAAAATACACAGCAAATATAGTATACAGTAGCCTGGCATTTATACTTCAAAAATAGTATACAAGGATAAAAGATCTGACAGTGGAATTACAGACCTAATTTGTAAGTTATACACCATGTTTGGTGGACTTATGTAAATTAAGATGAAGTCAGTTAATAGCAATTCAAATAATTCTGAAAACAGTAAATTTCCTTTCAAGTAAAAGAAGTTTCTGAGAGTCAAGAGAATGTAATATAAAAAGCAGTAAAAGTAATTCAGTAATATCTAGATCTGTATGTCTTTCAAAGAAAACTGATAAAAGTATTGTCTTACACCAGGGTCTTTAATGCAGCCTATGACAGCTATGGCTTTAGCTTCCCATGGAGCCTCCCCATAGTCAGACCTGAACTGTCCTGTCCTTGTTAAGAGGTCCTGGATTAACAAAATAAATGTAAACTTAACAATCTAATCAATTCAATCATGATATCAAACAGCATCATAATACCAGCAAAATAGGGCCATGCCAAGCTAGTGGTGTTATTATTTGAAAGGACTGGACAAGCCTGTTTAAGGCTTGGCAAGGGCAATTGCGTTATATTATATACATGTAAATATTGAATGTCTGGATAGGAACATTTCCTTAGATGTTGGGACACAGTATATTTCCTGTTGCTGTGCTATTACCTCAATGTACTGAAACAACATCTGATCTTCTTTAAGGTTGTGCTCATTCATGTATGGTCTGATAACCTTTCTGATGGTGTCTGGGATCAACTCAATAGCCACAACACGATCCAGCATACGGTAGGTCAGGGATTCAGTGGTTTCCTAGGAAGAGAAACAAAATTCAGGTAGTTAGTATAGAATTTAAATGAATCAAATGAAAAAATTTGTTCCATATTCATTTTCAATCTGCCAAACCCTCTCTTTTCTCCCTGTAACAGCTGGTTTTGCAGTATACTTTACCTTGCACATCTACCATGAATATTAGCTTAAGTGACCTGTTTTTTTTCTACAGCAGTAATTAAAAGATCATTTTTGGATTTTGATTAAAAGGAAATTACTTTATAATAGGTTGCAGTAGAGAAAGGTTTTTTCCTTAGTGCTCTTTCTCTTTATTTCTGATGTCATTAACCTATTGTATTGCCTATGTTTGATAAAAGAGCTACTGTTATATCATCTTTACTATAGGACTAAAATAGATTTTCTTTACCTGCATATATTGAGCCAGAGACAGTTTACAGTTGTACTTTGTGTGTAAGCTCAAAAGGTCCCGTAAGTTGCAAATCAGGCTGTATAACTTCTCAAATGATGCACCAAATTGTTCACTCTGTAAACCAAATTGCAAATATTCAGATTTTTCACTTCATGTGGACTTCAGGGAAGATATAAGTTCAATCATTATTAAACCTACCTGAAATCTCACTTAAACCAAACTACTTTAATTTTAAATGATAACTGATAGTAATACTTAATATAACTTCTGTTAATTTAGTTATCTCTTCCACTTAATATCACCATTATTTATAATAATAATAATAATAGCAACTTACATGCTTATCAGGGTTTCTTCGAGAATAACTCAAGGACAAGTTGCACACCTGAAATACAATTCAAAGAACAGCATGAATAGTTCACACATTGTTCTATCATCATTAACATATAACAAAGAAATTATTTTCTAATGTTTTCTTCCCAACAAGCTTTTCAAATACAAAAATATTTTCATAATATTATCCAGACAAAAAAGAAATCATTGTAAGAAAAAATTGCACATAATTACTAATAATAAACTCAAGATTATGAAGATATACAGACACGGAGGAAACTTTGGAGGTACTGAAGGTCTGGAGGACCTGCTGTACAAAAAATCTGCAGATCCTCCTAATTATGTGCAGATCCGTTAGTCTATCTTTTTGCACGATTCATTTTTATGTACTGTATTTCCACATAAACCTTGTCGGTCCTGAAGACCTGCAGTATCAAAAATATTGCTGGTCATCAGTTCCTCAATGTCTGGATATATTCAAGTACCTCACCTGTGTTGCAAACTGGCCTGGAGTTGCCTGTCCCCTGTCTCCCATGCAACTTGGTGACCCAGAACAAGCACTATGTAACAACTCAGCCATCTCAAGAGCATTAGCCGGCCATGACATCTGGATAGGTTTGAAAAAAATTAATCAAATCAACACATGCAGCACATTCCTCTGACAATTTAAGCATTGTTATCAAAGTTTGTGACTTACAGAATGCATTTTTCAACACTGAATTTTTTTTATATGCTTATATATGACTGTACCAAGCAACTGCTTACTCCAACTTCTTAACAATATCAAGCAAACATTTAACTTCTATTACACTAACTTTTTCAAGAAGTTCCAGATTTCTTGCCCTTTGTTCCAGCCAACCAGCTATGTAACCCTGCAATCATATGGAATCATATTATTTAAAACATAAAAATACACCATACTTATTTAAGATATTCAGGGTACAGATTAAACATTCACCAACTAGTCAATGCCTCTCTGTGTTGGCAAGTTCTCTGACAGTCCAACCAGACAAATATGCCCCATTCTTTCTTTAACCTCCATCTAAGAAAGGCAATTGGCAAAAGAGTGTTTTGTACCCTTAAAAAAAAAAAAAAAAAAAAAAAAAAAAAAAAAAAAAAAATTGCAATACCTTTATTTCATGCAGAACAAATGCAATGACATATCAATAACAAATAATTTGTGTGTAATTATGAATCAAAATGTCATCTCACCAGTTCTTCTGGGAGTACTCTGATGACAAAGGGAAAGAAATCTTGCTTCAGCCATGGCTTGATGTCATCAGAAGGCACATCTTCTGGTATGGCACCCAAGATGTCAGCTAGCACAGCCTTGGAGAAATTCTCTTCAAATTCACACTAAAGGCATAAATTAGAAAATGTTGTCAAAGAATGCCGGAGAACTTTACTCAACTTTACAAAGCAACCTTTATTTCTTAAAATAACTCTTTAATGGTTGTATGTCAAATTTTAAATACATGCAATATTTTCTGCATCTGTATCTCCAAAAATCATATTCAACTATTCTATATTAATGCCAGTGCTCAATACCATTTTTATGTTAAGGAGAGTCTATATCTGGCTTTGCAACCCATATTTAAGCAATGGCACTTACACAGTGTCTGTTCCAAATAGTGAATGCACACGACACATTTCCTCTTTGCAGCCACTTCAGTATCTCACGCAGGGGCTGGGTTTTCTTAAACTCCTCCCAGTGAGACCCCCTGCAAAGATGAAATATAATTTGATAACACTCAATGAGGAAAACCTCTTCATTAGATAACTGCAGACTTTTTCTTAAATCAATGCATCATGGTTACTTGCAGGAAGTTTTTAAAGCAATAATTATTAAATTTGCATTACCTGTAGTTGTGCATTAATATTATTATTATTATTATTATTATTATTATTATTATTATTATCATTATTTTTATTATTACCTGTAGCTGTGTATTCCAAATGCCACCTGATAGGTATCCAGTCTGTGTAAGGTATCTAGGACCTGGAAAACGGGATTATATAATGCACAAGACCGGTAGATAAAAAGCTCATTTTTCTAAAGGTCTTTAAAAATTAATTATTAACACTTTTTAATTCAATGTACTTATTATAAATCCGAATGTTTTTTTTTAACTTAAAAGTGTTCTTTTAGCTTATGAATGATTGCAGGCTACAGAGTTAATCATATCTACATAATATTTAAATTTAAAAGCTTCTGCTCACACAATTTCAGCTGAAAAATTACAACACTTAAAGAACTATGTACAATTTCACCAATCAATACATTGCCTAAATAGATTATAAGGAGCCTTTATGTAACTTTCAATTTGGTTAGAAATGTAAGTAGTAAGTTGATGTACATTAACAGTTAAAAGCATCTATAACTTTGTTTACCTTTGTCATCAAAACAGGCTTTGAGAGGTTTTCATCTTCTTTAATATAACCATTCATATCTGACAGGCTCTGTTTCAGCTGGAATTAAACAAAATGTCAAAATCATGTTAACAACAAGGAATAAATAATGCATTAATGAAATCAATGTTGGAAGGTTGTGTATGACTAGAGAAAAAGTTAGACATTTTCACTTCTCAGAAAATAAAACTTTTTGTATTAATAAAAACAATTACATCCGATTTGACTTATATTTGAACCACATCATGAAACCTAAGCTGCCACTGTGCTCACCCGAGTTCTGGCATATGATAGCATTTCAAGAGTGGCTTCAAATGTGGGCATGGCTGCATTGACACAGCACTCTACTATGTGAGCATCATCCTGTAAAATATAAGTTAAATAAATAAACAAACAATTAAACAAATAAATAAATAGATAAATAAATAAACTAATAATTCCAAAGGATAAGTTACTTTTCAGTTATTTTTGTTCAAGGGTATATCATTTTCTTCCTTTTCTGTATAATTTCAATTTCATAAATTTCAATATTGTTGTACAGAAAGTAAAAAGTTTATAAGACTGAATAGAGTAAAAATATATATATATGATGTAGATGACATTAACAATTTCAAACAAATCATTTTATTTTTCAGATTTAGCAACCCAGTTGATTTTAATACGTAAATAAAATTCTCCTACCTTGATCAACTCTAAACACTGCATTAGTTGGGAGAATATTTCACCAACTTCAGCCTCATCCTGTATCTTATCAATATTCCAGGGGGACAGTCTGTCCAGAATGTGACTGGACTTCACTTTATACACAAGCTGAAAGTACTCGATGTATTAATATAGTAGCTTTTATAATATCAGACCAGGTAATCTGTACTCAAAATAGAGTAAATAGAGAAATTAGAGGAATTCAATGTGATTACTCTTTTTCACACAAACTTCAAAGAGTTATACTTAAAATCCTGCTCTTTTATCAGTAAAACACAAAGTTTATTTTTAAACAAAATGAATAATTTCTTACCTCCACATCCATACCAAACATTTTGGCAAACTGCTCTGCTTCCTCAAACTGATTTTTATGTAGAATTCGATAAAACCTGAATAAATGAGACGTACAAGTATAAGCAAAACCATTCCTGCATCAACGATATAAAAAACTGCATTACAGTCAGCAAAGTCATGTCATCAGTTTGTTTAATCTGTCTGTTGATTTTACATCAGCTAAATTATAAAAGTAAGGAGCAAAGTATACTAAAATTTCATTAAAGGATTATATTTGGTTTAGTCAAAATAAAGTTCTTCTGTTTCTTCCTTACCTGGTTTCAGGTTGGGCCTCTGACAATGATCGTATTCTCAGTTGAGTAACCAAACCATTTCTAAAAAATATTACCAAAATTACATCAGTTCAACAAAGAATTTTATATAATATTATTTGTAAACATTTCTAAAAAGCCACATCATAACATCTAAATTTTTAAGTGGAGTTTATAAATAGAAATATATCATACTATTTACTGGATTACTCACTAAAATCTTTAATTTAAACTTTATTCATTTACTTAGATTGAAATTAAAATGTAACACAGGAAATGTCCATTACCCATTTTCTTCTGATATTCCTTCCACAACAAATATAGATTCCTGACAAAAACAAACAATTACTAATCAGTCATGCCAGTTTTTGCATTATCAACTCATTTGTAATACACAATACTTCTATAATGTATATTTCATATCAAACGTTGCATCTTTTACATTATACAAGATAAAGATGCTGCATATTTTGACAGGTGAACTGTCTTGACAAATGAAAAAATAGAAACATACTTTTTTTATATATAAAAAGAATTTGCCAGAAACATACTTGTGTGGCTGGTATTTCAGCCAGGCTGGACTCAGCAGACAGCTGCAGTTCATATGTAGCCTTCATGGCTGGTAGAGACAGTACTTGTAAGATACATTTCCCATCATTTGGAACTGTTAAGGCTGCCATCTTCAAAGCAGAGAGTCTAAATAACAAATAAAAAACATAGTATTTTTGCAATATGTTGTAATACCTTTAGATGTTCAGGAAAAATTATGTCATCAGAAAAATACATTAATTTTAGTTTATCTTTAAATATATCAAACATCTAAAAATACTTAAGTATTCATTGCTTTACTTGCATTTTGACTTTTTCATATAAGAGATATTTGTAGAAAACAAAAGTGATGAGCAGATCACTCAAGTATTATACTGCTTTAAATTAAATGAAAAAAATGTCATAAAGAAATTGTTTTCCTCAGTAAAATGCTCACACTGATGACTTCTCCCCTTCTGCTGTCTCAATCAAACAGAAATCTTTTATCTTGAGCTGAGGCCAGCTCATCACCATAGTCAGTGTAACAACATCCCACAGGCTCAGAATATTCTACAAAAGAAATTTTTTTACTTAAATTCTCAGTGTAAAGTTGTAAAGTTTTTAATCAAATAATCAAAAACTTTAAATAACATTGAGACATTTTTTTTGCTTTAATTTTTTATCCAACAAACAAATTTCTAATTCTTATTTTTTCAGCCACTGATTACGTACAAAGCATGGGTCTAAAAAAGCTGTTTGGGAGAAAACTAATCTCAACACTTTGAAGTTGAAAGCTGACATAATATTCATATGTCTCCCTTTTAACCACATACTCTCGTGTCCAAAACAATAGCATATTTCCCGTTGGACGTGGTTCTACACTTGATTACACTGGCGCCACCTAGGAGCTGACTGTCCACAATCTGAACTGGGGAACCATGACTACCAGGATACCATAAGCTTAGCACAGCTTCACCTGCACCCTGGAAAAGGCATCAGGTGTGTTATAATAATAGTAATGATAATAAATATGATGAGCATGTGAACAACAATTGTATGACTTCCAAAATAACCCTCTCGTTCTACACAAAATATTCATTTAATAGCATGAATGAAGATAAGGTATAAACTGTATGTCTTCCAGTAAAACTCACATTAAACAGGCTGCTTTAAGTCAAATATGTCTGTCTCTGAAAATTTATAAAACAAGACTATTGTTATGTACTCACACTGGTCAAGACTATATTTTTATACACTCACACTGGTCAAGACTGTTGTTATGTACTCACACTGGTCAAGACTATATTTTTATGCACTCACACTGGTCAAGACTGTTGTTATGTACTCACACTGGTCAAGACTGTTATTATGTACTCACACTGGTCAAGACTGTTATTATGTACTCACACTGGTCAAGACTATATTTTTATGCACTCACACTGGTCAATACTGTTATTATGTACTCACACTGGTCAAGACTGCTGTTATGTACTCACACTGGTCAAGATATTGTCATGTACTCACACTAATCAAGACTATGTTGTTATGTACTCACACTGGTCAAGATTATATTGTCATGTACTCACACTGATCAAGACTATATTGTCATGTACTCACACTGGTCAAGATTATGTTATGTACTCACACTGGTCAAGATTATGTTATGTACTCACACTGG